TCAATTTTAAATAATTTTAAATAAACGTTTTTAATTTTTAAAGCAACCGTATATTAAAATAATATCGACTAGAGAAAGAGAGAGAGAGAGAGAGAGAGGGAGAGAGAGGGGATGGGGAGGGGAGGGAAGGGGAGAGAGAGAGATCTATTAATTTAAAAAAAAATCGCTTTTTGCTTTGATATATAATGATATAACTTTATTTATACTAACTTTAATTATACTATTAATCATTTATTATGATTAATCAAATTTCTACAAATAAAATTTCAAATTTAATTATTATAATTTTAATGCTGAATTTTTATAATATAATTTTTTGTCAGATTAATATTTTTTTAATAAAATAAAAAAAATTTTTTTTTTAAATCTATTTATTTAATGCTGCAAATATAAAAATTTTTGAAGTTATTGATAGTCATGATTTTTTACGCAATTACCTCGATTTTGCTTCACTCTATATCGAGTTGTAGGAAAGCATCTCTGTCGTACTTTGTTGCTTATGTTGTTGAAAAGTATTTTATTTTACTATCTGCATGTATACCTACAAATATTTCAACATTGTGATCTCTTTAGTCTTTCTTTTTTTTTTGTAAAATATTTAAATATATCGGTATTTTATAAAAGTATGTATAATTAATTCTAAAGATACATAAAAATAAATTCGCCATTCAATTTTCCAAATGTTTTCGTCAAAGAAAGATCAACTCATCGTCGTAAAATTGATAGAGAAATCAAGTATCAATGTTCAAGACAATTACTTAAAATCATTCTCTGGTGACATAATGCGTAAAACAGACTGATTTCTCACAGGAATCATGTCTGAATTAGTCACTTGGTAATTACTCAATGCGAAAAGGGAACTGTAGTGGCAAAGTCAATGCGTGATCCGAGTCAGGCAGGCGTTGCCGACGTGGAGTTGACGGGCGACGAAAGCAAATTACAGGAACCACGATGGTTTCCATATATATGTTCGCGTCGGTGACGCTTCGACAACTCGTCCGCGATATAAATGGGCACCGACAATCATACGAGGAGGGAAAAAGCGAGAGATTGCATTCGTATACGAATACGATATATATATTGGTAGAGTATAACCAGTGAAACGAAACAACAACCGTGGGAAAGCGCGACAACAAGTAGAACTTTAGCAGCTTCTGATTATACTAATAAAGTTTCCCTAATATACGTTTCACGTTAATCGCGGAATACATGACGCAATCTAACCATTTAACGAAAGTCATACAAGATTATATTTGTAGCGAGTAAATTATGAGGCGTAATTGACGACACTCTCGCTATTAACTTGTGAGGATTGACGCGGAAATTAGTTAAATCAGGGAAAGTTGCCATAACATTGGAATACACAATAAAGGACCCGTTATAACGAGCGATAGGGTCTATCAACTCCTTTGTTAAAATTTGGACCAGCGTTAGTAATGCCATCTAGAAGTGTGCCTTCAGATAATATGAATTATTTTCCGAAAAATCAATATGATCGATCAAAATACGATAGATCAAATGTGGATGAAATACGCTTGAAGACACGTGTTGCAATATATTGTTGTCAATTGTAGTGTTAATTTTATTATCAATCATTCTCAGTTGCATATATGTATAATTATTTTTTATCAAATACATACTTGAACTGTAATGCAACTAAGAATGTGTTGATCATAAAATTAACACTGTTTAACACTACAATTGACGACAATATATTGCAACACGTGTCTTCAAGCGTATTTGATTCACATTTGATCTATCGTATTTTGATCGACTACATTGATTTTTCGAAAGATAGTTTATATTATCCCAAGGCACACTTCCAGATGGCGTTACTAACGCTGGTGCACATTTCAACAAAGGAATTTACAAACCCTGGTGCGAATTATGGTACATTTTTAGCAACACTTCACCTGCAATGCACGAAGACGATCTCTTCTTTTCCCCTTTTCTTTCCCCCTTCGCTTTTATGTCTCGGCGTCTTACTCTCGAGCTGGAACATAATTGTCCCAGAACAAATGAACCACCGTTTCCTCTTGCTCTACCTCTCGTCTCGTAAGGAATTAAAAATTTCAGTCGCTCGACCTGACGTCCTGTCGCCCGACAAATTGCCACCGCGATGAACGTGACGGTTCGTACCAAATGCGCTTCTAGAGCGACAAGAAGGAAAGAAGAAAAAAAGAAAGAACAGACACTCTGCTAAACGAGACCTTTGACGGAAATTGAAAGGAGGAATTTCGAATTTAAAAGCGATCCCTATAGAATTTCAAATACCTTGCGACATTCCTCAATGTGCGTAACACATGACAAAGGTATCTTGTAATAATCGACAACCCAGTGAACTGATTTCTTTTTTTTTTTATTATTACAAAGGAAAAAGAGAAGCTTTTATTAATGAAAGACCTTGTCTAAAAACTTTGACAAACATGAAAAATTCCCATCTTTAAAATAATCAATTCTTATCAATTTTTATGTAAGAGGAAAGACTTAAAATTCTTAGCTTTCATTTTCATGATACATTTTCTTTTAGAATTTAAAGAAATTTTCCATTTTTGTCATGAAAATTTTCAGTGAAAGAATTTAGCTTGGCATCATAAATTTATTTTGTTTGTTGAGCCTAGCACAAATCTGATTTTTGTGAACTTGCCGCTATTTTTAAATACTTTGTTTTTCATTTCTTTTGTAATTCATTGCGTACATGTGTGTCAATAATTTTTATTACGTATATGGCGAACTGATTTTGTCATTTCAGAAACGTACAATTATTTCTTTAATCAAGAAGGTAATCAAAATAAAACCTGAACACATACTTGCTGTAATTCATCTAAAGTGAATCTCCGTGATTGATTGAAGAATCAATCGCGTAAGAAGTAATGTATGCCTTTATATCAATGCCTTTCGTCATTTCTATGATATTTTAAGAGCCTGAAGATCGCAAAAGCAATAATTATTTTTGCATAGTCGCTCCCTTTTAGCATGAAGTGTCATAAAAGTAGACCATCAATTATTTTATCAATTACACAACCAACAATATCATAGGAAGATGATTTACTTGTTCCTATCTTATCAAAATAATACATCCTCGTTTTGCAAAGTTGACCGGGAAACATCGTTTAAGTCTTAATATTAAATTTTCCCGCAAAACTTTTTAAATTGATTATTTTGTTAAAAGAGTTGAATATTATATCTGGAAATCTAGAGTTAATAAAAATATTGTAGTCATATTTTTTTTTACTTTATTTTCAGAACAGGAATTGACTAATTTTATAAAGGAAAGAGAAAATATTTTTTCATTCTTATACCAGTGATATTTTCAAACATCAAAAGCGCTTCAAACCGACGTGGATGAAATAAATGACGAATAGTTGTGAAATAATTTTTCGTTGATCAATGAGATAATTGTTGATCCTCGAGACTAACGTGGACGCGTTATGCGATTCAAATGTCACATGATATTTTCACATGATGCGAATTCAGTCGACCGAGCAACGAGCTGTCTGCACGTACAAGGTTGTAATATCAGTTAAACGAGTTTGCGCGAACATCCGACTGTCCGAAAAATCTACAAATAATTCCGTGACGCCTTCATGTCGCGCGACAAAATAATCGCGATAAATCTCGCGCAATTAATGGCGTCTCTCTGATTATTTCGCGATAGATGCCTGCGATCGATCTCGAGGGTTTTTACGCGCAATGATACATTTTAATCTTCGATCAGATTTCCTGAATTACAATCCGTCAGCATCTGCGATCGAATTTGTTATCGCGCAGAGATGTGCGCGAGAGGTGATATTTTTGATAATCGGTTGCTGCAGCCGAGGATTCTGTCATAACCGTTGATCAACGCGTCAATTATGGATTAAACGGGGACTCGTGTTATCATAAGCGCGACCCAAGGCCAGTCCAATTAATGTTGATCGGCTAACGGCAACGTTTTCGCAGACGTACATCACCTCCCCCTTTTATTATCTCCAATTTCGGGTGCGTCAAACGACACGCGGAATATTCCATTTATTTGACACCAATATTTCATGTCGACCAATTTTCCGGGGTTGTATAAAACTAAATTTTTTACGTCGCGATGTAGTTATTTATAACGACTGCGGGAAATATATCGATGTCTCTCGCAAAAAAAAGCTGAATGACATGGATCAGAATTTAGAAAATTGCGCGCGCTCTCATTCCATGACGAACAAATAATATAATGCGGGAACAATATTCGGCAAAATTTCTTTCGCAATTCCTGCACAGAAATCGCAAATTATTATGAATTTGCCGCATTTTACGCATATGCGATCGTAATTTTTCGCGTTATTAAATTCCAAAGCGGGGGCGTGCATTTACATTTTATTATATCAATTTTTACTACAGCAACTATCTTTTAAATGCGAGATTTATTATCGGTGGAACACTTGTTATTTTGAATAGCACTCACAAAAGCGTCCGTAATTAATACATTCATATAATAATTGCGTGTGAAACATTTGTCGATTTCAAATCGCAAATATTTTCGAGTGATTAATTATGCTTTTACGTTTGCGCGCACGCAGCGAATCCAAGTCGTTTAATTCACGCGGACTGGGCGTTGACCGGATAGTCGATCGATGGGATCTTTTTTCCCCATTCGAGGCTTAAGTCTTAATCCGTAGATAAGCTTCGCGTATACGTAGAGACACACATTCGCGTATATATCCGCCGACGTACATTTAAATTTTCGTGAGCACGACCAGGCTTGGCGTTCGTTTCGAATAAAAAAAAAGAGCCTAAATTGATGGAAACGCTCCAAAGCTGTTAACGGACTGTTTAATTTTAACGTTTGTAGTTTTACATCGCAATATATCGTTCTGCGATGCAGTTCCATCGTCCTTAAATTCCCGCCTTTTCATTCGAAACGTTTGTGGATAATTTTTTCTTTTTACGTCTTTATTTCGTTTTACACAACCGCGTCGAATTTAAATCAAGTTTCTGTAAATGTTAATCTTCTTTTAATAAAATCTTACCTTAAGGGAATCGTGCAGCTTAATACGGTATATAATCCGGTACGACGGAAAATCTGTAACAAAAATATGGAAAATATTAATAATTGTGATGAATGTTACACAAGACAATTAACTATGTTAAATAAATGATAATTATCGGAATAATGATAATAATCCAAATGCTTTCAGATATTGTAATTGATATAAATTAACGTTAATTATTGTATATATAGAAATTGTTTTCAGTCTCTAATGTTATTAAAGCGTATAATCATTGAAATAATAAATGAATTTCTCTCACCAAAGCCGAGCTGAGGCGAAAAAGGATATTAATTTTAATTTTAATTTTAATTTTCTAGTCATATAATTCATAAAAGTATAAACGCAATTATGACATATAATTGTCATATACTTTTAGAACAAAAAAGAACAATAGAGAAAATTATTCAATATAAAGTGATACACATTTTGTTTACATTTTCTAATAAACATCTATTTTACGTCAAATTATACAGTAATTTATCTGTTTATAAAATGTGGTAGGAAAATATTATTTGCATTTCACGAATGTTAATAATGTACTGCAAATGCTACGAAAAAATCAAAGGAGATTTTTTACAATTATATTTACAATTAATAATTATATTATATCTCAATTTTTACGCGCTATCGATCAATTAATAATATTGAATTAACTTTTTGGCGATAATCGTCATATATTGGCATAATTTAAATGCTAATAACTCCAGCGCGACAAATTTCGCGTTCGAAGTATGGGACAAAGTGTCGCACAATCGCGTAAATTCAGGTCTGTTGACAAAATTACGACGCGCCCGTATATATCATCGGAATTTGTAAAAGGATTTTCATTCATCAAGATCCTTTTCTTCCGCGACCGCAGGCAGGTCGACGAATGGACAAAAGGGGTGGAAATATTAATTTATGACCAGGACGAAATTATGCACGCCACTAAATCAGAACCACCGCTCTTTTGTTCGAAAATTCCGGTCCTGGTCCTGGCGCCTTCAACTGGTAAACCGCCACCACCGTCGAGGAAAGCATCCATCGTCCTTCGCACGGGAGGTCACACGGCACACACCCGCTCCCTATCCTCCCCGGGAATCCCTCCAGTTGGCATTTAGGCTGATTTCAGCACTCGCCGGTAATAGACTGTCGACGGATTCGCGTTAAGATTTTGTGAGGGACAGCAATTTCGCGCGAAACCGGGCTCGTTCGTCGTCGAAACTTCGAAACTCTCCGAAATGAGAGATACACCAGGACAAGAGAGATCTGGACGGAGAAGCGAGAGAAATCACTTATGTCAGATGGGGAATTCTGGGCAGGTATCCCCCATTTCGGATACGTATAATTTTTCATATTCGCATGGATCGCTTCACCAAAAATTCCTTTTTTTTCCCCCTTCTTTTTATGTAGATCTTTTCATTCGCGCCGCGAAATGATAAATATGCTATTTCCCTGAAGAAAAATATTATTCCACGAGCGCGCAAGATATCTCTCGGGATCACCAGCATTTTCTCCAGGTTTGAGTTTGATGTATTGTTAATGGTATTAGACGCGACTCCGTCTCTGATATGTTTCTCCCCTTTTCCTCGCATCTGGTCCCATCAGTTTACAACACTATTGCAAGATTTACTAGGTAGCGGCGCCCGTTCGAACGGGGCTCTGGCATTAACTATTCTAATCTACGTTGTAATTTATTGCCGCGCAGCGGTTCGTGTCCGCGACGTTAACTCCTGGTGAAGTATCAGCGTGTTTACAATATTGCATCAACCTGCAGCATAATCTCGTGTCGCTCTTATTCGCGAGAAATTGAGTATAAACTTAAAATAATTATCCATTTTCGTGCGGATACACATAGGAGAAAGAGAGAGATATTACGCTCGATTTTTATTCATATCCGGCCATTGTTTCGGAAACGGCGTCATCTGTTTGTACGATGAGTATCGTATATTAGGGTGACATCACGCACGATAACGCACTGAGTAACGAGCATTCTTTCTCGGAGATTTCCAATCATTTTATGCAAATCCACGGCCAACAGAGAGCCGGCAGACAAGCGTCTTTTAATGGCACCGGTATCGCCATTATCGAATACACAGAGGATCGTTAAGCTTCTCGAGCCGTAAAGAAGATTATACTTTAGCCAGTTAATCTAGTTAGCTCATATATAAATTGTGCAGTTTTATCTGACAATAAATATACTGACAATAAATATACATCTGTCCTTATTTCGCTCTTTATCAGTCAAAAATATTGTATCACTGTTCAAAAAATATTGAAAGCACAAGTAAATAATTAAGTTTTTTATTTTTTGCTTCCCTAGCTGTTTTACTCAAGTTCCTAAAATTATTTAAGCATAAAAAATAACAATATTAACGATAAAATATAATTTGGTAATATTTATACAAGATATTCCGCGGGAAATTGCTGACATTAATCACTTGTCACTTTTAAACGTATATAAAAAATGGAAAAAATAAAATATCTTTTAATAGATTTAACAGTTCCATTTACGTGTGAATTAATCGGAGATATTTTTATCATGAAGATAATCGGAGATATTTTTATCATTTAATAAACATTTATAAAAGAATGTCACAATCTTAATGATGTAGTATTTTCCGAATCAAGATTTTCAAAAACTATAAAAAATTTTATGTAATATTTTTTTTTTATATTTTCGTTATGAAAGAGACTTAATTTGAAAATATATTACATCAATAAAATTGTGACATTTTCTTATAAAATTTAATTAAACAATATTTATAAAATTAAATAATATTTATTTAACTTTATTAAATAAAAACAATATTTAATAAAAATTATTTAATAAATCGCAATTTAATTAAACAATATTTATAAAATTAAATAATAAATTAAACAATAAATAATAATAAAAATTAAATAATATTTATTTAAGTTTATTAAATAAAAATAATATTTAATAAAAATATCTTTAGTCTTATATATGAGTAAAATTGCTATGCAAATGTTTCTCTATTAGAAGATATCTTAATTTTTCTACTCTCTATATGTTTAAAAATGACAGCTGATTAATTTCAGTAATTTTCCATGAGACATTCTGTATATGTTTGTATTCATTAAAATAACAACTTTTCTATTTCTAAAAACGCAACATTTTTGATACCGATACTGTATTTTTTTCGTATATACAGTTTATCTCTCTTCTGCAATATTATTAGAAAACGCGTTGTGTGTGTTATTAAATGCAATTAAAATTAAAATAAAAAATTGTAAGATAAATAGTACTGATATACGATAATCAAAATTTGCGGGAATTTTTTAAATATTTAATACAATCACAATCGTCATTGCATACAAACTGCTGTAATTAATAATCACACGCCTGTTACAATATACGCCAAGCTCCAAATCATACGTAATTAGAACTAATTATAAGAACAACCGCGAGAGATCTCATCCCGTTTACCGAGTCTCTTATTGTCGCGCCCGATTCTCTCCTTAGTAATGTGTTAAGTCAGGTATTATTCCGGCAAAGCCGCATAAATCCCCCTCCGGAATACATTACGGTCGGTTGTAATGCGGTGAGGCGGGAATAATGCGATTTGCATAGAATAATTCCGGCGCAATATGCACTCGTTCGGTAGTATCGTCCCTCCTCGACTCGCGCCGCGTTTTTGTCGCCAGTGGAAAAAGACGCTAGTGGAGCGGCGACGACGATCGGGGCCCGGGTTAAGCGGAATCTCGCGAGGCGAAATAATATAAGCATCGTGCATCGTGCAATGTAGACATACATACACACACACACACACACACACACACACACACACACACACACACACACACACACACACATATATATATATATATATATATATACCGTAGGTAATGTATTCGATGACACAAGAAGCACGTCGTTCTATCCGAGAATAATTGTCCGCCCTTTCTCCCTCCCCTCCCCCACCTCCCATTCTCAAAACCCCGGCAATATCTTTTATTTATGAGCTCTCCACTCCCGGAGCCCGCGAGTTCGCTGCACTTCTGTGATCCGTTGTTTTTATCCGACATCGATCCGCCTTGAATTCCCATGCACCGTCATCCACCTCCGGAATTTACCGTCGCTTCTTCATAGCGAGCGTGAAAATTGTTTGCGAGTTTCAACATTAGGGGGTTTCTTGTTTTGCGCGAGAACAAATTTCCGCGGGAGAACAAATTTCTGTCTCCTCCGCGATCCTCTCCGGTAAACATTTAGCATAAATACGTGAGGTCCTTGATTTCCACGACGTTTATCATATAAATAACGTAGTAACATGAAAGATATATTTCCTTCTTTAGAAAATATTTATTTTATATATATTATTGTTTTATGAAGAGGGGAACTTTTATGAAAAGAGGAAGACTTCATAAAAATGTTTAAACTATTGACTACTGTCGCATCGCGCTCACTGCAGAATTCTATTTTTTATTCTATATTGATCCCTCTATCGATATCGATATACGCGGTGTACGCGGGTTCCTTGATGCGTTATGTCCCACAGGAGAACGTAACGCGCTAATTGGTAACACAGACCTGCGAGGTGTTTTTTTTTAAGATGCAATAGTGATTTCCGACGTAATTTTGTGAGCTGAATTCGAATCTGGCCGCTGAATTTGCGTAGCACGTAACGTTTTTGAGTAATTTGTAATTGAATGGCTCAAAAATCGCTATTTTGGCAAAATTTGGTTTCCTCGCAATAAATTCATGAAATTAATTTATTGCGAGGAAACCAAATTTTTTGAAATATTTTTGCCAATGGCATCGTATAATACTCACTTTCGCTTTTCAAATCCACTTTCGATTACCGCCGCACGATTTTTCTTCGCTGAGATATATAAGTATGACGTTGTAAGAAAATTTACGTTAAAGAAAATTTATATAGACATCAATATGGTAGATCCATGATGTTGAAAGTTGAAAAGACTGACATATGTCAGGTTCGGTTGTCCAAAAAAGTATTGTAAAGAAATATCTAATACAGTTGTTACACATTTTGATAAATTTTTCTAAATTTTATGCCTTTTTATTGTGATT